CTTTTATCATGCTTTCAATAAAGAACTGAAAAAAAATTAGTGTCTTTTTGTTTCTCTTCCACACATACTGTTATTGGCATTAACATCTCTGAAATAGAGAACTTGAAAATTCCATGTGGTGATCTTATGATTCTAGTTGCATCTCAGTTATACAACGTAAATGCCTAAAAATACAAATTCTCAAATTTTTCTTTCTTGGGCAAACTTGAGAACAACAGCAGTTAACAATTAGCATTTTTAAAATGCAGAATTTCAAACACTTGTAACCATCCTACTTTTTAACTCTCTCTTTGTCAAAACACTAGCATGCATATCAACATACATTCTAAATTCATTATTTTTAAAATACTTTTTGTTTCCTACTTCTGTGAAAAACTAGCTCATCATTATCTGACACACTGTTGTATTCTTGACCATTACTCAGACCCTAAAAGAGCTTGAAGATTCTTACAAAGAGATGCAATCAATTTCTTGCCTTTAAAACTTGTAGCATATGCCGGCTCTTTCTGGATGTCAGAGTGATCAACTTGATATACAGCTCATGTTTCTTCATAGCTTTGAACTATCCAAAGCTATCTTTTGGGTTTCAGTGAACCATACACATTCCTTAAAGTCTGTGGCATGTTACTTCTCAAATTCTATATGTATTACTCAAGGTCTTCTCTATATGTATTAATCCAGGGTCTCCTTTCTGTAACCTCTTCCCAGTTTCAGAAATATTTCCTTCTCTATTTTCACTCTCCTTTTGTACCCTGATCTATTGTTTTATAACTTTGGGGGCTGGATGCTACACTCTTCAATACTTAGTTAGAAACAAGTGAAGTACTTCAAGACAGTAATATTAAAAACAGAGTAACCCTTTGAATCCTTCCTAGTCCTCCAGTTGTTTGTAGGTAAAGAATAAACCATGGTTTGAATGCGACCAACTGCTTTCTACCTTTATCAGACTTTCAGTTTACTTCACACCTTCACAGAAGTTGACAAAGAGGCTCAAAGGAATCACAGATAAGGATAAATGGTAGCTGTCATTCAGGTAGCTACATTTTACAGAATGTTAGGTACATAATCACTACAGATCTTGTTGTAAATATTCTTTCAGGAAAGAATGTTACAGAAATATTCACAAAAACAGATTAGTTCAAACTCAGGGTAAAATGAGAGAAAGGTGCCAATGGGGTGTTATGAATAAGGGTTTTTTTCAAGTGTATATATAAAGTTAGACATTCATAGAAAGAGCAGTTTTCATTGTACCAGTGCCTAGATATTAAACATAACTATATTTGACAACTAAAAAATAGTATGAGTGGCAGAAGCTATATATACTGTAACAAAGTCAGAATATTGCCTCCTAAAATGACTAGTCATTTTGGAAAATGCTGGCCCCGTTAAAAGTGGAAATATACACTGTTCTTTCTTAGTCTGATTACCCTCCTGTTCTAAGTTGAGGCCAAGTTTAAATACCCCTCTCTAGAATTAACACCTGCTTAGTAAGTGCCAAAGGCTGAGCACTTTGAGAATTCAAACATCCAGTATGAACCAGAGTTAGATTTCTAGCTCACGGAAATCCTCTCTGTGCCCTGTAGCTGGCTGGTGATGTTTAACAAGCAATTCTTCAAAAAGGATTTGCCTTTCTGGGTGCACAGCAAGTTATGCAAATGGATCTTCTTGGCATCTTCTGAAAGAGAAGGTTCTCCTTTATCTGAAACAGACTATCTGACACCTTCCTGTTTCATATCTGACACCTTCTTCTGTCATAGCTTTTCATTTTCTTTTGTGACAAAGCCTTTTGTTTTTTTTTTTTTTGCCTGATCCCATCTGAGTTTGAAGATGGCAACCAAGGAAATATTAACCACTTTTTTTCTCTTCAAACATGCCATCAGTCCATGGAAATTACAAATGCAAAGAAAAAACCCCACCCCAAACCATGATTATGTTTTAGATGCTCTTAAACAAAAGATGGCAACAAGAGAAACACAGGCTAAAAATAAAAAGCATCTCTTTTTTTCATGGTAAGCCAGTAGCCAATGTACATATTCAAAAAGCTTATCTACTTCATTTCATGTTCATCTAAAGTTGATCCACGTAATTATTTCTCCCATTATACAGCCCATTGATGCCTCTTTTTCTGCTTGGAGAAAATGTCAGTGTTACAGGAGAGAGATTTTATGCTCAGAGGACCTGGGATTAGAAGAACAATTTTGATATTGGAGATTCATGTTTGGCAGCAGATTGCTTTTAAGCATGTAAAAAAATTTTATGCTGACATGCATCTGTGTTATGAAATAATTTATCTTTAACTCTGGGATGGTAACAGATGTTATTGTCTAAGGAATGAAAACTGCTGGTTGGAGATAAAAAGAATCTTTGAGTGTTATTAGAAAACAGAAGAAAGCACATGGCATAATAGGTCAGTTTAACCACATTGTTTGCAGTTAATCTGACATTTCAGGCATAATCTGCAGTGCTCACTTGAAGTAGGACATTTTGCTGGGAAGAGAAGGATTTGATACATTCTTTTATATTGCTGTGTCAAATTTGATTAGAACATAATGAAATGAAAAATGTAAAATAAAGGCCTTTGGGCTCACTGGTTATGTAGTGCAATAAGACGCACAAGGAATTAAAGTGAATGTACTCTTCAGAATTGTGTCAAACTTGTCATGTGTAGTTTGTGTGGAGCTTCCCTTTGTCTCATGTTTCCTTGGTTTATCCTTCCTGTGTGCACTCTTTGTTGATCTACATTAACTGAATTTCCTTCATTAATTTTGCCCAGAATTTGCCTGTTCTCCAGTATTATTATTTGAAACAACAAGGCGTTCAAATATAAAATCATTGAAAACCTGTGACAGTTGATACAGTTTTGGTTTGCAACCATAAACCTCCCCATGGTGCTCAAAACTTAGCAGAAATTTATTCCTGGGATGCACTAATACTTCCTGCTGGCTTGGAGAGCAGCCACAGGACCATTCACTGCAGCAGCTTCATGAGTAGCCTGCAGAATTCAGCTTCTGCTGTCAGTCTGAGAGATATCTGAGCTACACAGACAAGAAAATGGGCTCAAACTTGGTTACTTAAATGATGTGTGGAGGGTTTCTCATAACTTTATAAAGTAAGTTCTAACCTTTGAAATTTTGGAAATGTTAATTGGTCAGCTAAGTACTCCACACTTTCATTTATCTGATACTCTTATCTCAGAACTCACATTACCCGAAATTGGATGTGTTTCTAATGTCCTGTGAGTCACTTGCTTTGAAAAGGTCTCTTCTAGCTGGAAACCCAGTCTAGGTGGCAGGTTATGTATTCAGTTTGGATAAACAGGGTTACACTTCTCACAGGAATTAGTATCAGTAGGAATTAATAAATGACTCATGTTTCAATCCTGCATTTAATTTCAGAGATTACAGAAAATCTGAATACAAATGACACGCTGCATCATTTTTGAAATTTGGAAGGAGAAGTGATTCGAAAGAAAATACCAGAGCAAACCTTCTGCCTAAGTTAAAGCAGGGAAAAAGGACTTGTACACATCAGAGTAACTCCAGCATGCATTCAGCTTTCAGTTGACCGTAAAAAATGAAGTTGATCTTGGGATGCTTAATGCTGTATGAAGACAGCCTTTCATTTGGAATGACTTGTCAGCTGCTCTGTCACATCCTTACTTGTCCCTTGTGGTTGAAAAGCGATAACTTCTCATACAAAAGCCAGATTCCTCCTCTCTGACACCAAGGCCCTGCCTGTATTCCAAGTGAGGAACTGTTGGTGCTGCTGATGCACTTCCATCCTTGTGTGGGACAGGACTGGGCAGTGAGTGTACATGTTCCACACACTGACCAAGAAGGCTGAGAAATCACCTTAAAACAAGGGAAATATCCATTTTCAAAAAGAAATTCCAAACAACAAAAAAAAAGGATTTCAGCAATTTGGTCTGTAATACAGGCATGGTACCAGACCACAGAGGTATATGATAAGGAACTCAACTCAGGAAAGTTATTTGTCTCAGAACATCCTTTACTTTTTAATGGCTTCTTATTCTCATCTAAGCATATGCTTAAATGCTTTCCTGAACCGAGGTCTAATAAAGTTACACTTTGATCTTACTGTTCATGATGTTTGGTTCATCTGACTCTAAAATATGCACTCCATTTGAGTGTGGTTTGACATAACAAATGAAATATTTACTGACACTTGGCACTGCAGTGTACCTTCACCTCTGTGGATTTCTGTAATGTATCATTCTCACTGAAGGTCTGTCCTCTGGAAGATGTGTGGGATTCATTTCTAATGGCATTACAAGGAGGTTGGCTCCTGCTTTGAGAAGAATTCTTTTTCAGAAGTAATTTCTGTGGTTTTGTACCTGATCACTGTTTGTATTCCTGCTCAGAATTTGATACCAGAGACTTTGGGATAACAGAAAAAGAGACTTAATGTACAAGTTTCCCATTTCCCTAAGAACAAAATTATGGCAAACAAAGAGTTAAACCAATTTGGATGTTTCACTGCTTTCACGGAACACTATTGTCTGAACTCTCTTTGACTGGATTATAGCTAGGGGGTTATCTGAATTTATGAGAATATAGTCTTTTGAAGGACTTAAAATCACTACATATAAAGAATGTTGAATCTGCAGTTCTGGCTGATCAGTATGGTGTAATTTACATGACAAATCATGGAAAACACAGAAAAGTAGGCAAAGTAAGAAGAGTAGTATTTCCTTAAATAAATTTTAGATTAAGTAAGATTAAGAGAAGAACATTTCTACCCTATCAGCAGCACAATGACTAAACCCACTATATCGTACATAAAACATGCTTTAATATATCCAAAGAACAAGAAATTAGGACTGAAAATGCACTGTCATTTTCCTTGGATTAAGGTCAAAGCCTGAGAAAGAGACAGAATAGAGTATTTTCCTTCATAAATTTAACAGACAATTTCAGTTATAATCATGTTAAGGAAATGAAATCAGAAAAAAAATCAAAAAGAAAAATTGTAATACTTACATTGGTGACATATTCAATATCCTTCCAAATATTACATTCCCTGGGAAAATCTGTCAAATCTAAAAAATTATCCACTACCACTTGGCCAATCAAGTCATGTCTGGAGAATCTGTCAAAGTCATATACAGAGAAATGGAGTTTCCTCGTGTTCAGGTCATTGTATGGGACAGTAAATAAAAAAACTTCATCAAATACTGGATTTAGGGTCTTTCTGTGAACTTTAGTCTGGTGTTTTGTTTTCCTGTCAGGAAGCAGATATATCTTCACGTATGGATCTGATGTGCCAGAGAAGTCCTTTGCTGGCAGGTTGATGGCCTTGTGAATCTTCACTATCAGCTGCTCTAAATCACAATCATATTTGAGAATAAAGTTCAGTTTTCCACATGCCTTGATATTACTCCTCCGGCCATCGTCCGTATCCACTGATCTTTGCTTGTACAGTTCTGGCTTAATGCGGCCGATCCCCGTCAGTTGCTCTTGTTTCTGAACCTGCTGGATGTTGAAGTCCGGGTTGGAGAGGTTCAGCTGTCTTCGGATCGAATTGTGCCTTAAGTGAAAATGAAAGAGCTGAAACAGACTGTGTTGAGGATGGTAAGAATCCAGGCACACACACTGTAGATCCTGCTCTCATTTGACATATTTTTGTAATGTACAGCTGGGTCAGACTTTTAATTCATGAAGGGATAAAGTGTGAGACCCAACAGTTGTGAGAGCTGACCTTCAGTGCTAATGTCACTCTATTTCTGTTTCCATGTCTGAAACCAAACCTGGCTGAAGAAGGTGACAAATGGAAATTCGTGGCCATTGCAAATCCAAAGGATCTATATCTTATTGGCAAGTATAGTGTGATGCAAGAACTCTAGCTATTTTTATCACTAGCCATTTTTGACTGAATCCTGTACATTAATGCCTACAAAATGAGTTGCATTATGCAAATGGCAGCAGGGTCAAATGAGCTTGCTGATTTCTAGTTCAGAGGTAAAGCTGGACAAAGGAGGATGCTTCCTGACATCTCTGCACTTTAATTATTTGTTGATTTCTACAATTAACAAGTGAGCTGTTCTGGCCTGAAATCATTTGTTGAGCACCCCAACAATTGTTTGGGTTTTTTTCTCTCATACCTGATGTAATGAGCTTTGTGGTACTTTGGCTAAAAAACTCCTTTAGTTTCATTACTCAAGGATAAAAAGTTGTTTTAATATTCAGTCCTGTGAAATTTATTACCTGGAGTCCCTCACTTATTGTGACTGAAATTTCTCCCTAGTGAATGGTAACAGAAATCAAATTTGCAAATCCTGTTGGGGTAGGGAGATGTGAAAGTTGGATTAGGTAAAATCCTAATCTTAGCTGAGTGGGGTCCTATTTTATCATCCTATTCATATTGAGCAGTCACTCGGTTATTGGTGTACCGTGAGCTGTGGTTGAACACAGAAAGAGCACATGGAAAATTCTAGCAGAGGATTAGCCCAAAGCTATTTATATTGAATCTAATCAGCAATAGTTCCTCCTCTATCACTGTTCATTCATTCCTTGTAAATATCTGGTTTTGCATGCTTAAAACAGGAATAGTGTCTTCTGTACTATCCTAATTTTTTTTCTCTTGTTGCATAATAAATACATTATCTTACAGTTATACATTAGTCATTTCCAGGATAAAATATCATCGTGTAACCAAAAAAATAAGTATTTTTTCAACCCTTAAGCTCCTCATTGCAGTGGCAGGTGCAGAATATCCTGTGGAGGAATAAAAAGGAGGGCACTTCAGAGACATCTTAGCAGTGACTGTAGCAGGGGCAGCTGCCTGGTCTCTGTGGCCACAGAGGAAAACCACATCTGGCTCCCCAGTTACAGCAGAAAGCAGCAGAGGCAAGGGTGATTTCTCTGCTGAAGGAGGCAGGAAAAGGAAGACGGGCCCCTCCTGCTCAGTCAAAGTCTTTCAGGGAAGACCTGGGCAAAAGTAAGGGGTTATGAAAGAGAGGGGTTTGCTGTTCTGTGCCAGCAAACGGCATCGGATAGGGAAGGGACCTGGAAAAGGATCCCTTGGAGGTAGAGAGCCAGTATGACACCTGCTGTAGAGGGCCAGCCTGGGAACATGGCCAGAAGAAAGATCTGCACAGAAGACCTCGTCTTTGCACTCAGGATGCTGAGGCAAGTTCTTTTACAGATTGAGATTAGCATTTGTAATGCTCTGGGAATGTCTCAAATTCTTTCCGAGACATGTTCTGGGCAACTGGCAATTACTGAACTGGCTGTTGTCATCTCACCCATGTTTCAGGTATGCCTGCAGGAAAGAGTCTTCATTAAATTTGCTCTCGCAGATGGCCAGAAAGGAGGCTAGCAAAGAGCCACTGGGCTAGTGCTGTACCTTCTCCAGCTGCAGTGCATTTGCTTTGACTCAGATATTTACTGGGTCTTCATATGCTGATCTTTTTTCTTACTGTATGAAACATAATCCTTCTATCACCTGCCCCTGCACATAGTCTCACCCTCACCCTTTCCTCTTTCCTCAACTAACCAGTTCCCCTGGAGATTTCGCTGACCCTTATTCAGTCCCTTTCCCCCCCACAGTCATGACTGTGGCTAAAATCTATGATTTTTAGTCCTATTTCTAACTCTTACAAGTGTTTCATTAGCTTGCCCTACTTTTCTTCTTTGGTTGTTTTAAAAATCTTTGAGGAGATATTGCTGAGTGCTCAGCATCAGTGCTCAGTGCAAATGAATATGCTTTACAAGCTAAATCTAGGCTGTTCTGGTGCTTTTAAGGGACACACAGTGCTCTGCATTATCCAGCTTCTGAGGGAGAAGCACAAATGAGACAGTAGTTTACAGAGAAGTAGAACAGGATTGTGATCCTGTCCTTTCAACCTATGAGGTTTGTGCACCTCAAAGAATAAGGTTTATGTGATTTTTTCTTTAAAAGAATGTGGCAAGTAGATGATACATTTTTATCAGATCATTGTACTGGATAATCAAGCTGTCCTTTTTGGACTGTATCTGTGTTCATTAATATCAGAGAGAAATTGGAGTAACTGACCGAGCAGAAGAGGTGGGTTCAGTGATCTGACGATGCATTCGCACATTGTAGACGCAGTTCTCCTTTGTTCCCGCCTCAGTGTCTAATGGAATATCAGGGGAGGTATGGCTGATCTTCATGGAGGACTCTGGATAGGCTGTAGGCTGACCCAGATAATCCTCACTGTAGTCACGGTCATTGGTCTCTGTGTCTGTGTAGTTCAGTGATTCCTGCTTGTTGTCTTTGTTCCCAAATGGTAGACCACGCTCTCGCCAAGGGATCCAACACAGCTTCCAGGATACGAACAGAGAGACACCAAACAGAGCAAGACCACAGGCTGTGACAACTAAGGAGAGCAAGCTTATTGAGATATCTGCAAACAAGAAAAACAGCCATGTCACTTCTCTGTGCTCTCTGGAGCTCTGTATCTCTGAACATCACTAAGGGAAGTTAAAGATCTCCTGATTGCAGATCCACAGAAATTGAATTCTGGTTCCTGCAACAGTCATAACATACAAACATATTAAAAGTTCTACTTCCACCCCCCTTCCCCCCAGAAACTTGTTTGGAATTCAGTTTAAGGCTTACCTTGATAGAACTTGGCTTATATTTTCCTTCCAAAAGCTGGATGGTATGAAAGGTCATTCTGAATATAAAAAAGGGTTGTTCACTTGCTCACTCAACTTTCTACTGACGAAAGAGCTGTGTCCGCAATATATTTTGCCATTTTTCTTCCTTTTATGTAGTGCAGTTTCCTCCACCTGCTTTACCAGATCCTAGTACCTTCTTTTCCAGAGACTGTATTACAGTTAAACGCCATGAAAATATGTACACAAGCACATACGTGACCTGAATTCTTTTAGATATTCAGCTGGTGTATCTTGGTTTGTTATTTTAATTCCATTCCTTCTAATTTTAGATTCATTCCTATCTTTGCAAATTATTTTGACTATGCCTTGCTATTCATAATTTAACTAGGATACCAGTATCTCTTAGAAACTGAAATTTTTCTGGTTGTTTTTTGTTTATTTTCTTGTTTGTTTTAAACTCCAAAAGGTCTTTTATTCTGTTTCCAAACTTCTGATATATAAGGAATGTGGACATGAGTTTTCTGTTGGTTTTCCCCCTATTTCCAGCATTATCCTACTCCATCAACACAAATAAATTACAACTGGGAGAGGTTTTTGCTCTGTTTTGCTTTAAGTTGCACATTGGGAAAATGACTCAGTGGAACAGCTGTTTTTATGGTTACAGTCTTTTTGAAATTAGCCTCTCTGTGGATTACACAACACATCATGCCTTAAACACAATTAGTGAGAATTCTATTTTACTGCCTTAAATTATAAACACAAGCTGATCAAAGCAATTTTTCACACTTTGTGTAGGTTCAGAATGTCAGGCTGCATCTCTCTAAGCAAACAGCTAGCCTAAATTTTCAAAGGATGGCATGAGGTTGAAATGTACTGCTTCTACCAAGAAAATTATTTAAGAATGACAATTCAGATGAAACAGCCCCAATCCATTTGAAAGGAAAAAATAAGAATTTTTTTTTTTTTAAAGTGGAAAAGTCAATACCTTTTGTCCCTGCTGTGAATCTCATTCTCACTGGCCAGACAGATTAAATTTCCTCAGAGAGGGGGAGTGACTCTACAGTCCATTTCGCACAGGAGCTGTCCAGTTTACTTTGCATGCTGAAAACTAATTTCAAACAATTTTAGACAGCACGGCCCTTTCTGTCCTTCTCCAAGTCATATGAAGACAAAGCTCATTAAGAGTGGGGGCAGCACAGTAGCTGTTTGGAATTACAGCGAAGAGTTTGAGAGCTGAAATCAATTAAATAAATTCCTCTCATGCATAAAAGGCAATTTGGGAGAAAGTAGAATGGTCTTTCTTGATAATTTTTGAATATTTATTGGTAAACAAGTCTGGCAGTGGAGGCAGAGCACAACCTCTCTGTTTGATTAAAAAGCTGAGGATCTAGGGTGCAGTAGTAAAAGAAGACCTTCAGAAGAAAGCAATTTGTCTTGGATTCCCTGGAGAAGAAGGAAGAAATGCATCAGAGGTCTGCAAAAAGGCCTCTTTTTATAAAGAACTGATTCAAGTAAATGATCCAGCATTGAAAGAAATGAGAAATTGGGAGCTGTCAGAATCAGCCAGAAGATTACAAGATGAGAACTGAAGACTGCCCAATGCCAAGGATGTGTGAATGTGAGGAACGATTTGAAAGGCAGGCCAACAGTCCCCTAATCTTGTAGGTGACCTTAGCAAAGGACAGTCTTCTAAAGAACTGAAATCATGAGAAAAAATACATGAGGACAGCATGAACTGCTTTTCATTTGGAGGGCTTTGATAACATACTTCTGCATTTGATAATGTAACATCCCTATCTCATAGCTTACTTCCAGAGAAGGTGGGTAGTAAACAGCTCAGGTAACTTGCCACGTCACAGCATAAGAGGAGTTTGTTTTTCTGTTATCTTGGCTTTACTTGTTCCTGACTCCTATGTGTCAGAAAGAAGTTTTTCGTTCTGTGAGTGGAAAGGGGACCATCGTGTATCTGTCTTACTTCTATGGAACACACCAAAGGGCAGTGCTCTAAGCTGTTACCTTTCACTGGACAGTGATTTTCATATCCTCCACACTTGCTTGGCAGTTTTCAACAATTGGGCAGATCCATTGTGAATACCTGGGGTAAGTACAGTCCCAAGTGAAGAGATTCTTTTTTTTTTTTTTTACTAGCAACTGAAAAGTTAAAAATGATGCAGAAATAGCAAGTGAAATAGTTTTCTACCTCTGGATCACATCATCAGTTGTTATCACCGACTGGAGATATGAAGGTGGCCTTTCTCTCTGTGACAGATTTTATTACAATCAGTGTGATGACAAAAAAGCCTCAGTTCTCTTACCAAAAACTGATTATGGAGTCATTGCTGGATCCATTTTTAATTTTTTAACTTATATTTTAAAGTAGATCTGTTACACAGAAAAGAAAAATCTCACTCTTTATGTCAAGTGAATGTATGATAGGAATATAAATTCTCTTGTCTTCAGATTATCTTAGTGAACAGAACCACAGAATTACTGGGGAAAGGACCCTTCAGATCTCTGAATTCAAGTATACAAGGTCACCTAGGATAGGCTCCCCAGGACAGTGCTCAAATTTCTCCAAAGATGAACACTCCAAAGTCTGTGTGGGTATAATCTTGTTTTAGTAGGGGTAAAATACTAAATGGGTAACATTTTTTAGATCACAATAACCAAAATATCAAAGCTCTAAAATATTACTGCACCTTGTAGACTATCTAAAAAAAAAAAAAAAAAGAAATAAAATTATGCCTCTATTTTTATTGCACAGATTTTTAGTACAGATAAACTGAACATAAGCTTTTAGATTGAATTTCAATAAAATCATAGATTGTTCTAAAAGAATTTGAATGGTGTTGAATTTTTAGATACATGTAGCATGATTCCTGTTCAGTATGAGAGGTTGCAAGAGCAAAGATAAATGTATAATGATCCAATTCAAATTCTGAGAGTACAAAAGTGCAGGCCTGCGAGTTGTTTGTTTTCTGGCATAAATGGTTGAGCCTTACTCTCTAAAATTCTGATGCTGAAAAAACTTACCAAAAAATTAGGCAAGCAAAATGCTGAAATAATAGTGGTGGTTTTGTCTGTTCATACATGAAACAAGGAATGAAGTAATTTTTTTCCTTCTTGTGTTTATAAAGTTACCATTTGGATTGCTAAATTTTATACAAAAATCAAATATCTAAATTAGCCAACAATGAGGGAAATCAATAGCTTATGCAGATCAATTTATGTGTCTAGATATGCAGTTGGAGTTATGGAATCAAAAAGCACATACTGTGTTGTATATATTTGGATTCACCTGACTCCAAAAGATTCAAATAAGAACAAACATATGAGAAAGGAAAAATAAGTGTGAATTTCTCATCAACCAGGCACAGACAGGGCAAGGGAACTGCTGACCAATAATATAATTATTTAGATAATCAAGTTGTTGGTTGTCTGGATGTGACAGGTGTTCCACTAAGTGAACTCCTTTCCCAACAAACTGTAGTTTAACTTGAGGCTGAAAGAGTTTTACCCAAAATTCTAACTGGAAGAGTTCTTTTAACATGTTCTTATTGAAATAAAACAAGCTTTCTTCTCTATCCTATTTATTCTCCTCTTTCTAATAAAATGCCTATTAAGATATACCAGCATTATTGTAATATACACATTGATCTGTTGGGGGAAGTTTGGTTAGAAAGAAGTGAAGCAAATCTTGGCAATTTAAAATCTTGCATTACAAGCATTCTTTCCTTATTTAGAACCCAACAAATTTCAAAAGGCATTCAATTAAAATAATAAAATAATTTGTTCTGAATAATCATATTACTAAACTTTAGGATACATTGGGACAGATCAGTCAATCTTTGTGAATGATTGTCTAAATTTAGCAGAAATTTCAAGCTATCACTTCCTGAGGAAAAAAAATATTCCTTTTTTGATTAATTTTTTACTTCTTACAAGGAGATTTTAAGGAATATGAAGTGCTCAGTCAGTGAATTTTCTTGAAAAACAATGGAAACATCAGTGCCTATAGCTTAAATCCTAGCTGTGCTTTTGAAAATCTAAGTTGTCTTTCTCTTGTGTAAATACATCCATGGAGGGTTAGCCATCATTCAGCTCAGTAACTACTGTAAAAATCACTGTTGGGTTTTTTCTTAATATTACTCTAAGACCCTAGCTTTTCCAGAAGAGAAGAGTTCTTAGGATTGAGTATCTAAAGCAGTGTTTAACCTAATATTGCAGTGTAGTTTCCTTTGTGCTTCACAGGTTTTCCTTAATTAACATACCTGGCACTTGTCCAGGACAGAAGGTATCTTTTTGCCAAGACGCCTGAGACAAAGGAATAATTCTCAGCAATACTTCTCTGAAATACTGTTAATTATTTATAATACTGTGTTTAGAAACTTTCTGGTCAATTCTTTAAAGTGAGGCCACTGAAAGCCAAAGGAATATATCTCAGATTATACTAATTTTATTACACTCCAACTTTTATGTGTCTGACCCTGACATTTATGAGTGTGGACCAACAAAACAGACCCAAATGAGATCAGTCAGGGCTTCACATAGTGAGAGCATTCTCTATGCTCTGAAAAAGTATTTGTAACTGGGTCTTACTGGTATTTGTAGCTGTTATTAGCTTTTAGTGGCTTTTTTCCCTCCCAAGTTGTGTGTTCTACATATTCTAGGTAGGTTTTAGTCTATGTAAAGCTCTTGTGTTGGTTAAGACTGTTCTGATCCTCTGACTGACTTGCATGTCTTTTTATTCCTAAATAGTGCTACAAATTCCAGTTTATCACTG